TTTTTATTCTTGTATACCAATCATTGGTATTTGTATAGATGTGTTTTCCTATTACATGTAATATATGATATTACATGTAATTGATTACATTATTTGTTGAGATGTAATATAACACATCGTATTTGTTATATTTGGATGTTTTCGTCGTCGATTCATTAATACCTATGTGTATGTTGGTGTGTATGTTGGTGTGTATGTTGGTGTGTATGTTGGTGTGTGTGTTGGTGTGTGTGTTGGTGTGTGTGTGTTGTGTGTGTGTTGGTGTGTATGTTGGTGTGTATGTTGGTGTGTGTGTTGGTGTGTATGTTGGTGTGTATGTTGGTGTGTGTGTGTTGGTGTGTGTGTTGGTGTGTGTGTTGGTGTGTATGTTGGTGTGTATGTTGGTGTGTATGTTGGTGTGTATGTTGGTGTGTATGTTGGTGTGTGTGTTGGTGTGTGTGTTGGTGTGTGTGTTGGTGTGTGTGTTGGTGTGTATGTTGGTGTGTGTGTGTTGGTGTGTATGTTGGTGTGTATGTTGGTGTGTATGTTGGTGTGTATGTTGGTGTGTATGTTGGTGTGTATGTTGGTGTGTATGTTGGTGTGTATGTTGGTGTGTATGTTGGTGTGTATGTTGGTGTGTATGTTGGTGTGTATGTTGGTGTGTGTGTTGTGTGTGTGTTGGTGTGTGTGTTGGTGTGTATGTTGGTGTGTATGTTGGTGTGTGTGTTGGTGTGTATGTTGGTGTGTGTGTTGGTGTGTGTGTTGGTGTGTGTGTTGGTGGTATGTTGGTGTGTATGTTGGTGTGTATGTTGGTGTGTATGTTGGTGTGTATGTTGGTGTGTATGTTGGTGTGTATGGTGTGTATGTTGGTGTGTATGTTGGTGTGTATGTTGGTGTGTATGTTGGTGTGTATGTTGGTGTGTATGTTGGTGTGTACGTTGGTGTGTATGTTGGTGTGTATGTTGGTGTGTATGTTGGTGTGTATGTTGGTGTGTATGAGTGTGCTTGTGTGTGTGTTATTGTGTGTGTTGGTTTAACACAATGATTTATTATACAGTCTATATACTTACCCATGTGTGCTTGCCATGTGTATATACAACATAGTTAGACATGTTCTTTAATAATGTATAATGTGTTATGTCTGAGTATAAAGCCATTGTCAATACTTTGTTTGTGTGTAAGGTGTATTACCATTATATTGTACGGTATCGTTGGTCGTGAGAGATTATTGTAAAATTAGCCGCTTTCTTTTGTGTGTTTTTAATATACATTTATCATTGTGTATCTCACTGTTTTAAATAAAATATAAAAAAAAATCACTATACTGGCCGAACTGGAATAAGCCGCTTAAGTTGTCCAAGACATATACTTCAGAAGACAGGTTATTTGTAATTATTACTCCCATATCTTTTTTTTAACTATTACAGTTTTGTGCCTTCTAATCTATATTTTATCTCTGGGTTCCTCTACCCTAATTTGTTCGTCATTGTATAGTTTCACCTGTTAGGATTGAACTCAAACAGCCACTTACTAAACTATTCTTGCAGAATGTACAAGCCTTCCTGTAGTTTACTGTAATTATTCTCTTCGCGTCTGCAAGCGAGGGCAGAAATTTTTCCTCCAATGAGTGATAAGCATATCACATTAGGTTCCAGGAATGACCAGTAGGAGATTTTACTAACTACTTATCCTGAAGTTTTATATCATTTGTTACTGTCTCCTGATTCTCGAGTGTCTGTGTTTATGTCTATTTTTGTATATAGGCACTTTAATATATCTATTAAGCACAACATCAGCAACTAACAGCATGACCACCACCCCTTCAACTGATAAAAAAGCACCGGTCCTAAGTTACACACACACACACACACACACACACACACACACACACACACACACACACATAAGTATGAGTATGTACACACACAACAGGTGTGAGTACATACACACAAAACAAGTATAAGTACACACACAAAACAGGTGTAAGTACACACACAAAACAGGTGTGAGTACACACACACACACGATAGGTGTAAGTACACACATACACAATAGGTGAGTACACACACACACACAAATAGGTGAGTGCGCGCGCACACACACACAGACGCACTAAAATGAAATTATTGATAAAGTGACCGTGAAAATTGGAAGATTTGAATTAAATAAAAAAAAATGGGTCAATGCCGGTTTTATTTATACATCATAATATAACTAAAGTGACAAGAGTAAGAGAAGGCAACACTGTCAATATTAGACTAGTGGAATAGTGGAAGAAACTTTTATCAGAAACTACTTAAATCTACTTGGTAAGAATGGTTATGTTCTATTTGAAATGGCGTATGTTGGTAAATAATAACATGGGAACAAGAACCACTCACTTATTAGGAAATAAAATGCTCTACGACAGTATTTTAGAGAATCTAAATGGGATGTAAAATTACAAGGGACATGCCACCCTTCAGTGAATGTGACCTGACCTGAGTAGGTTGGGGCATTGGCTTAAGCTTGCAGGAGACTTGGACCTGCCTCGCATGGACCAGTAGGCCTGCTGCAGTGTTCCTTCTTTCTTACGTTCTTATGTATAAATTTGTTCAGAGAGTTTTGTGATAAATGAAAATGGAATCCATCAGTTTATTCCAAAAAGAAATACATGAAAAAAAAAAAGAATGGCTTTATGGAAAATGCTTAGAGGTATGAAACAAAGAAATGATCATAAACTATTACAAGACGTGAACCGTTGGAAAAAACTAGATTTAAACAGGCTAGAAACGAATAAACAAATGTAAGAAAGAAAAAAAGAAGCTCTGAAATAGTGGACAAAAGCAAAGTAGAACGAAATGTTGTATTTAAAAAAAAATTACACTAAATGTTAAAGACAAATACAAAGAATAAAATAACAAGAAATTCACTTAAGTTCAGGAAGAAATGCGTGAGGTATTAACTATAAAGTGCTTACCAAACATAATGTAAAGTGCTTACCAAACATAATATAAAGTGCTTACCAAACATAATATAAAGTGCTTACCAAACATAATGTAAAGTGCTTACCAAACATAATATAAAGTGCTTACCAAACATAATATAAAGTACTTACCAAACATAATGTAAAGTGCTTACCAAACATAATGTAAAGTGCTTACCAAACATAATATAAAGTGCTTACCAAACATAATATAAAGTGCTTACCAAACATAATGTAAAGTGCTTACCAAACATAATGTAAAGTGCTTACCAAACATAATATAAAGTGCTTACCAAACATAATGTAAAGTGCTTACCAAACATAATATAAAGTGCTTACCAAACATAATATAAAGTGCTTACCAAACATAATATAAAGTGCTTACCAAACATAATATAAAGTGCTTACCAAACATAATATAAAGTGCTTACCAAACATAATATAAAGTGCTTACCAAACATAATATAAAGTGCTTACCAAACATAATGTAAAGTGCTTACCAAACATAATATAAAGTGCTTACCAAACATAATATAAAGTGCTTACCAAACATAATATAAAGTGCTTACCAAACATAATATAAAGTGCTTACCAAACATAATATAAAGTGCTTACCAAACATAATGTAAAGTGCTTACCAAACATAATGTAAAGTGCTTACCAAACATAATATAAAGTGCTTACCAAACATAATGTAAAGTGCTTACCAAACATAATATAAAGTGCTTACCAAACATAATATACAGTGCTTACCAAACATAATATAAAGTGCTTACCAAACATAATGTAAAGTGCTTACCAAACATAATGTAAAGTGCTTACCAAACATAATATAAAGTGCTTACCAAACATAATGTAAAGTGCTTACCAAACATAATGTAAAGTGCTTACCAAACATAATGTAAAGTGCTTACCAAACATAATATAAAGTGCTTACCAAACATAATATAAAGTGCTTACCAAACATAATGTAAAGTGCTTACCAAACATAATGTAAAGTGCTTACCAAACATAATTAAAATTTTAAGTAAAGAATTTTAATCTCAAACAAATAATCTGAAATGCAAAAGTTCGTGTAAATTAAATTGTAATTAGTTCATTTGCTACGGTGGCAAATTATAAAATCAGTTTCAAATATATGAATGGAGAAATGTCAGAAATGTTTAAAATATATGTTAGGCAACAACTGGAATATGCATCAGTTGGAGAGGTCCAGCACCGGGGAAGACGGACGGTTAATTAAGGTCTCCACAAAGATAAGTACTTTTTATTGATTTTTTTCAATTAATGACTAATTTTCTTTGTATATATACTGACCAGTGACCATAAAAGTACTATAGTTTGCGAAATTTCACATACATACGGAAAATCATGCTCTTAAAGACGATTTTTTATTTGTAAGCACGACTGAGTAAAACCCTGGCAGCGTTACTGGACAGTTATGTGCTACCCACGCCTAAAAAAATCATGTATGTACGATAGAAAGAGGTTAATATTTGAGCTATGAATGGCTACCAGACTTGAAAAAATATGATTTATGATGAGAGGTTGTTAAACCAGAGAGGTCTACGGTGACTGATAGCAAGAAGCAAGGTATTATAACGTTATATAAGCAATCCAAGGAATGGGTGGGGAGTTGAACTCATGGCCAGTGCGTTAACCACTTGGCCAGCTGGGTGTAATAAGATTCATCCAGTTTGTTTGGAATAATGTCGGCAACGACATACAAGACTATAGAAGGGCATGGAAGAATAAAGAAAATGACTTTAGAAGATGCAGTAGGGACAAATTAAGAAAAAAAAAGTACAATCGAAGGTATAGAAGAATTAGAAGAGGAAGTAGCAAGTGCTACAACCGTTAGAAATTGAGAAAAATAAAATATGAAAAAATTAATGAAGCCAAAATAACAGCGTAGCTCTCCTCCTGCAGCTACAAATATAGTTATAAAAAGAATTAATTACACACGCACACTGACATGCACATGTAGACACGCACAAACAGGCACGCGCACACGAAAGCACACACGAACACTCATGCACACACACACACAGGTTACCTGAGTGTTGCTGGGTTGTACATCAGTGGTCCAGGGTCGTGACTTATCACCTTCTTTGTTGTGGTTCTCTAGAGCATCCATCGCCTTCTTGCTATTCTCTACGAATTTCTATGAATAAAGTGAAAACTCGATGAGTGGATAATACTAAACAGTGGAAATAAACAGTATGAAATACTGACACGACTGAAAGAGATAGAAATGCAGTATAATGCAATTCTTTATTGAGAATTTCGCCCACACACTGGGCTTTGATAAAGCCAACTGTGTGGGCAAATAGTTATCAATAAAAATCGCATTATACTGAATTTGTGTTTGTTTTTCCAGTATTCTAGTATGTTATGATTAAGCCACAAAGGTTAATCAAAGAGTTTGCCAGTACGTCTGTCTTGCTTTCAATGGAAGGAAGTTTGAGCCAACTCCATACTTTGATCTCAATTATTCACACGATTTTAGAGCTTCACAAAAAGAAAGTAAAATTAATGGCTGGCCAAATGGTGTCAAGTTTATACAGTATTCGGTAGAACATTGCATTCCTTCTCCCTATATTCAACCTTATGGGGGTATGCACTAATGTACAATTCTTCATAAATCCTAAATTGTATTTTACACTGCAACCTAATTTTACTAATATTTATGTAATATAAAGTGTTTATTCGCCCGGCAGCCGGGCAACAACATTTTGTTTACGAGTATTTACATAGTAGGATAGCGGCTAGTTTAGAAGTTAGGTTAGGTCTGGTCAAAGACAGGGCCTCGGGGGAGTTGATCCCAGAAATGCTCTCCAGGTATGCATAAACCTATAAACATGTATTTAATTACTAACTGATTATAATTATAACCTTAATTTTTAAAGAGGTATAGGGGTAAGCTTTCAAAAGGCCTCTTGTCAGATGACCAAAAGTTCCAGCGGCGGGTCATCGTATGACTAAGACCCACGTTAGGTAACATTTGTCCTGTTTCCTGACGAAACTTACCTAACCTATTTAACCACTATTATTATTATTATAATAAAAAAGAAGTGCTAAACCACAAGGGCTATACAGCGCTGCAGGGCAGGAAGGAAGCGAGGATATTAGGTGGCAAAAGGGAGGTGGATGAGTAATAGGTTACGAAGAACAGCGGGGCAGTGGATGGTGAAAGGGTAGAGGGCAGCAAGAGATTGAGGTAGAAAGGGCTGAGGAAAGTGCGAAAGGTATCATCATCAGTTTGTGAAGTAAATCAGTCGTTGTCAAGAAGTCAATGAGAGAGTCAGGATTAAAGGAGGGTCCATCAGCAAGAAGGGGAGGTAAAGAGTAGAGCGGAGACAACAACGGAGGTAAATTCTGCGTGCTCGTTGATAGAGAGGGCAGTCTTACAGAATGTGGCTAATCGATACTGGAACTCGACACTGCTCACAGAGAGGAACAGGATGCCTCTCCATGAGATACCCACGAGTAAGACGAGTGTGGCCAATGCGAAGGCGGGAGAGAGTAGTCTCCCAACCTCGGCACTGATGACAAGAAGACGGCCAGTAACCTATGCTCAGTTAAATAGAATGAAGTAGAGTTGACCAACTTTGTTGCCAACGGGTGTGAAGGTGGGTAGCTATTACAGTAAAATAGTCCGGAAATGGAACACCTCTATAAGAAATTGGTAGGTTATGTACTGCTGACCGCGCAGCAGTGTCTGCCTGTTCATTGCCCTGTATGTCAACATGACCAGGGACCCAACAAAAAACAATATCTTTATGCTTGGTAGAGATGTGGCGTAGCCAAAGTTGGATACGGAGAACTAGGGGGTGAGGTGTATCAAATTCCCGTATAGCCTGTAGAGCACTAAGGGAGTCTGAGACAACCACAAATGATGACACAGGCATAGAGGCGATACGAATAAGTGCTGCAAGAATGGCATACAATTCAGCAGTAAAAATGCTAGGTGAAGATAGTAAATGCCCTCGTATGATGCTGTCTGGAAACACTGCTGCATATTCAACACCGTCAGAAGACAGAGCCATCTATGTGCACTGCGATGGCATGAGAACGAGAGTGGAAGTGGTCAAGAAAAAAAGAGCGGGAAGCCACCATAGGCAGTTGGGCTTTCGCGCAAGGGAGTGAGAAAGAACAGATCCGAACACCTGGAACTTCCCAGGGGGGTAGGGAAAAGTGAGATGCTACATGAACATATAAAGGTGGTAACTGAAGGGAAGACAAGAGCGAATGTAGGCGAAGAGAGAAGGGACGGAGCAAATGGGGGCGGCGAACAAATAAAGAATGTCTACTAATATCGGTGACCATTCTATAAATGGAAGGATTGCGGAGATCGTGAGAGCGTACATAGTAGCAAAGGCAATGGGCATCATGGTGATCAGACAAGGATGGAACATTCGCCTCTGCATAGAGGCTCTCAACAGGGGAAGAGCGAAAAGCACCAAGGCATAAACGTAATCCTTGGTGATGGATGGGGTTAAGGCTAGAGAGAGTAGCAGGAGAAGCTGCTGAATAGATATGGTCACCATAATCGAGTGTCAATAAGATGAGGGCTGAATGTAGGCGAAGGAGAGTTCGATGATCAGCTCCCCATGAAAGATGAGCAAGGGTTTTAAGAAGGTTCAGCCAGCTGTGACAAGTTGCCTTCAGAGAGGTAATGTGAGGTTTCCAAGATAACCTATGATCAAAGAGAAGGCCTAGAAACCTGACTGTATCATGTTCAGGGATACGGGAGCCACAGAGGTACAAAGGATGATCGGAGACGACAGAGCGTCTAGTGAAAGTAATTTGGTGAGTTTCGGTACTGGAAAATTTAAACCCATGTGTGGTGGCCCAATTGGAAACACGGTCGACCACATGCTGGAGAGAAACTGTAAAGAGGTGACAGTCAGCGCCTGCACAAGCAATAGTGAAGTCATCAACATAGAGTGATGACCAAATATTGGATGGAAGAACAGAGGCCAAATCATTTATAGCAAGGAGAAAAAGTGTTGTGCTCAGAACACATCCCTGAGGGACACCTTCAGCTTGGACAAAGTCATGGGAGAGCACATTATTGACTCGAACACGGAAATATCTGTCAGTTAAAAAGCTCTTAAAAGGAAGGATGGTAGATTGCCTCGGAGGCCTAAGGAGTGGGCTTGGGCCAAAACATTATAGCTCAAAGTTGTGTCACATGCCTTCTCAAAGTCAAAAAATATGGCAATAACTGAGTGGTTATTCGCAAAGGCATTATGAACATACGTATCCTAGCATAGTAAGGGTCTATGGTAGATTGACCCTTACGAAAGCCATATTGACTAGTGGAGACTGTTGTGTGTCTCTAAATACCACATTAAACATCAATTTACCAGACGTTCCATCACTTTGCAAACTGCACTAAAAAGAGCAATGGGACAATAGTGGGAGGCATCATGTCCCGTAGTACCAGGCTTGCGGAAAGGGAGAACAATGGCAGATTTCCACAGCTGGGGAATAACTCCTTGTGACCAAATAAGATTGAAGAGGTGTAAGAGGACTACAAGGGCTGACTGATGTAAATGTTGTAACATCCGAATATGAATGTCATCAGGCCCAGCTGCTGATGATCGGCAAGCTGAGAGTGTTGCCTCTAGTTCCCGAAGTGTAAAAGGCACATTGCACTGTTCTTCTCTGAAAGAAGAAAAGTCCAAGGGTACTAACTCTCTGGCAGACTTTGAGGAAAGAAATGAGGGGCATAGATGGAGCCCCCGGGAAATACAGACCAGACGAGTGCCAATTTCAATGGCAATGTCAAGAGGGTTTGCTATATCAACACCGGCGACCCGTAGAACAGGAGCCGGGTCAGGAGAATATTTATCACTCAATTTTCTCACTTTTTCCAGACTGCACTCATACAGGAAGCAGAGGTGATGGTGGAAACATAATCTCCCCAGCAAGTGTGTTTAGCTTCACGGATGACAACGAGCGATCGCACGCTTCTGCTTAAAATCAAGAAGTCTCTCATTGGTTCTATTGTACCGGTACCTGCCCCATGCAGCGCTTTTCAAACGTATTGCACGAGCACAAGCAGGAGACCACCAAGGCACACACTTCTGAGAATGCCTGCCTGAGGTTTGGGGTATAGAATAAGAAGTTGCGGTTAAAACTGACGTCGAGAAGAGGTGTAGGAGCTCATCAATGGAGGATGAAGAAGGAGCCTCACTAAAAGCAGTGAGTTGTGAGTAAAGATCCCAATTTGCCCGATCAAATTGCCAGCAAGGGCTACGGAAAGGTGGTGAATATGAAGGAGAAGTAAGAATGATTAGAAAATGATCACTGTCATGTAAGTCCGGTAGAACAGACCAGGCAAAGTCTAGTGCAGTGGAGGAAGAGCAGACCGATAGATCAATGCAAGAGAGAGTATGAGTACGAGGATCAAAATGGGTGGGAGTGCCAGTATTTAAAACATGGAGGGGGTGAGAGGCGAGAAAAGCCTCCAACTGGATGCCACGTGAGTCACAATGAGACATAAGAACATAAGAAAGGAGGAGCACTGCAGGAGGCCTGTTGGCCCATACTAGGCAGGTCCTTTACAATTCATCCCACTAACAAAACATAAGAACATAAAGGAGGAGCACTGCAGGAAAAAGGAGGAGCACTGCAGGAAGAAAGGAGGAGCACTGCAGGAAATGGTGGGCATTAAAATCGCCAAGTAACAGAAGTGGTGGTGGTAAAGATGAAACAAGAAAGGCAAAATCTGGGATAGAAAATGCTCGAGAAGGAGAGATAGAAAGAACATATTGTAAACCACTTATTCAAGTGGATACGGGCTGCATTGTAATGCAGCAAGGTATGTACAAATAGTTGACAGTATGGAATATCATTGAGTAGAAGAAAGGCACTTTCATTAAAGGTCCCATCTGAGAAAGGATCCAAAGAATACAATAAATTATAGCCTGAGATAGGTTGGAAAACAGCTGAGTGTAATTTTGGTTCTTGTAAGCAAACACCAACAGGGAAAAACCTGGAAAGCAACATCTGAAGCTCACCCCGATTACCCCTGAGGCCGCGGATATTCCACTGCAAATAGGCCATGATTGGCAATGAGGAAAATACCAGGAATCCATAGGGAAGGGCACCTATGGACTAGAGGGGTTAGAAAAGTCAACATGCAGTGGCATCAGAAGACATTCAAGCAGCGAAGGAATGGAGCGTTGCGAAGAATGAAGTTGTGGAGTTGGAGGAGAGGGAAGAGAAGCAACAGGAGGTGGATCAGTGTCCATTGAAGGTTTAGTCTCTGCAATGTATTCTGAAATGGCTTCAAGTGTTTCTGAATTCAAAGACATATGGGAGACAATATTAGAGGTAGAAGGAGGAGGGTGAGTAAAGATTGGGACAGTAATGGACTGTATCAAAGTAGGGGGGATGAAAGAGTGTACGGGACTGGAGAATAAGTGTGGGAGGGGACAGAAGAGGCAGAAACCTGGGAGGTGGCAGAAGAGGGAGAAACTAGGGAGGGGACGGGGGTGGAAGGCATAGTACAAGGAGGAGGGTGAACCTCCACACTTGTAAAAGAGCCAGAGAGAGGGGAAGAACCAGGCACAGAGACTGGAAAGGTAAAGTGCAGAGGTGGAAGAAGGGAAGGAGGGGGCAAAAAAGATTTGAGCAATAGGGATTTTTTGGACTAATGAGAAGTGGAGGGGCAATTGGTATAAGGTGTCATACGAGGTCTTGTCGACACCAGGACTTGTGAGGAAGGATGCGAAGATGTAAGAACAGACTGAGGTGTTGTAGTAGGGATATCAGAGCCCAGGACAGCAAAAGAATTAGATACCGGAGTGGCTATGGGAGGGGTAACCACAGAGGAGGCTGCAGAAGATGGGACCCGAGAAGTGGGGGGACGTTTTGAAACACGAGAATAAGAAACACGGTGTAGTCTCCCTTGGAGGCGGAGATGAGTAACTGCCATAGCATAAGGGACACCTGCCTCTTTGAGGCAATGGATTTCACACTCATTTAAATAGGCCTGGCAACAGCGAGAGTACAAAGGGTGAGCCTCATGACAATTAAGGCAAGAGGGAGATCGACTGCAAGACGTATTAGAATGGTTGTCGGCACCACAGATTGGGCATTCAGCTAGAGATCTGCAATATTTCGCTGGGTGACCAAAATGCCAGCAATTTCTACACTGTTGCGGTGTAGGGATCACCTTTCGAACTTGTAACTGATGTCCCGCGACAAACAGAGGACAGGAGTTCACAGCTGTCGAAAGTTAATCGAGCCACATTGCAAGGGTATCGTCTCTGCCTGCGGGCAGGAAGGACATAAGTGTCTACTTTGAGGATTGGGAGATCCTGGAGTCCAGTTGTTCAAGAATGTCATTGCCACATGTCTGGAAATTCTGTTGGACTATGGTATGGGGCAGAATGACAGTACCACTACAAGAATTGAGAGAAAGATGTTTTTCAATAGTGATAGGAGTAGTATCGATATGCAAAAGGAGAGAAAGATCATGAGCTTGGGTAGCATTCTGGACAGTGACGATGCACGTACCGCTCATGAGAGCATGAAATGAAATATTTCTATCAACACGGCGTAGGAGCGCTTTGCCAATACTATGGTCAGAAAGATAGGCAGTAGAAGAAATCGGTCTTAAAGTAAACAATTTAGTCCATTGTGTGGTCCGAAACTGAGTGTGGAGAAAGAGTGCATGGCGTGTCGGTCTTTTTCGAGTAGAATAGGAAGGTAATGAAGTAACATCATCATGAGCTTGTCGTTGGCATTTAGAAGTGGGACCAGAGTTGGTCCGACATGGAATGGGCTGGCGATTCGAAAATTGCCGCACCATAGAGGGAGAGGCCGGAAGCATAGTCAAAGGAGGGCAGAGATCAGACAAATCGAAGGAGTCAGTCGAGACCTGGTACCTGAAGCTGGTGATGAAACAGCACCAGCAAGAGGTACAGGGGCATCAGGAGCATCCAAAGAGTGGTCAAAAAACGAGGCAGGGTCAGAACAGGGTGCGGTATCAGTAAGGGGCCCTGGGGTAGAAGGTTCATGGATTAGGGCTTCCATGGTTAGGTTACTTCTTTCTTTTTGTTTTTAAGAAAAAAAAAGAAAAAGAAAATAAAAACAAAAAAAGAAAAAGGGAACGGGGAGGAATAGTTCCTAGGAGGAATGAAAGGGCCGGAAATCACCCTCCGTTCCCAAGACGACCTCAACACCGCAAGTAGTGCAGATGTGGCATGGAACCCATGCCATACCCTACCCTTCATGCCAGAAAACCAGCAATCCAGGATAGCAACCTCACATCTGCCGAGCTACCTCGGTGGACAAAAGAGAGGGCAGCTGGATATCCACCACAAAGCATAACTCCTTTGGCCACCACCCCCGGAATCTGAAAGGTGGCCTCCAGAGATACACCCTTCGCCCAAAAGACACCCAAAGTCCCCCCCCCCCCGAAAGACCGGAGAGGGAACGGGATATCCCTAGGCGATCCAGATTCCACGGCAAACTACACCACTGCCAAGAGCCTCAATGGAATGGGATTGACCCCAGTACCCTTCCCCCTACCTAGGAACCAGTTGGCCTGTGGGAAGAATCCCAAAGGCCAAAAAGAGGAAGGGAATAAGGGAGGGACAGGGAGGAGGAGGAGGAAAGGAAAAAGGGAGGATGGGATAGGGAAGGGGGGATTGGGGGTAATTAGGTTCGGTCAGAGGAAGGAGACCAACAGGTCTAATTCCTCAGACCAAGAGCCTCTTCACCACACCAAGGAGCCCCCCTTGAAGAGGTTAACCACTAGTAATCTAACTGAAAAGAAGCTAACAGGGCATGATTATCATGTTCGCAATGTTAAGAACATATGAATAGAGGAATACTGCAGTGGGCTTATTTGCCTATGCTAGGCAGGTCTAACTCACACCCACTCATTTACCTGGCCAGCCTATATTTAAAACTACGTGAAGTAAGAGGAGTTAACTCCACAGTACTTACCATGAGATTTATGCTCATGTAGTATGGTTTCTGGATACCGTCGTTCATCTCACAGTCCTCACAGAAGCATAAGAAGAGTGTGTCGATCGTCATCTGCACCACAGGAAGCATCATCATTACTAACAGTATAATGGAGAAGAGATAAACCCATAGGGGTCATTCAGCCCCAGGGGATATGGGAGGTAATCAGGTTTGATATGATGAAAAAAGGAGGGTAGTTCCAGTATCTTGGTTCAAGAGTCATTCACCAGCATCAACAAAGTGTTTATCTTTTATCCGTAGTCTTTGATTTGGTTAAATTTTACAGCGCAGTTTAGCACATTGGTTTTTAATGTAGTTTAGGCCAACATCTTAACACATTTTGATCCAACGTTTAAGCCTAGCATTTTTCGAGTTAACATTTTATTTTAACTTGTTTTGATCTAACGTTTTTGCCTATCAAGTTTCTGTCCAACTTTTTAGCCTAACACCTTTCGATGCAATGTTTGTAGTCTGGCATCTTTCTGTGCAACGTTTAGACTATCACGTTTTGATCGAAATTTGTAGACTAGGTTAAGGATGTGTAATCTGTCTGGTTTCGGTTCAATGATAGCCAATAGGTTTTGATAGTAGGACATTGTTGTCTTAACCTAACATGGTAGGATCAAATGCTTCATGCTTTTGATTTGTCGTTGGGGTATATTATGCTAGCAACTAGCACAATGTATACGCTAAATCCGATGGTAGACAGCGCCTGAGAATGTGAGGTTATCAGGTTTGATCCGAGGGAGGAAAAGGAAGTTCCTTGATAGCCGCTCGACAGGTTTAGAACCATGACTGAATTCGTTGTAGCTATTAAATGACAATCGGGTAACGACCAGTTTGTCGTTTTTATGTAATCTTATTACTTAATGACCAAAAAAAAAATTAAATAATAAGTTAGGCTAGGCATAACTAAGTACAGTGTCATGCATAATCCATCATGCAGTACACAATGGATTATGTTAAGTATAGTATATCATGAGTAATATATCAAGTATAGTTTCGTGAATAATCTATCATGCATTATCATGAATAATGCATCATGTCTAATGTGCATTGTGGTATGGTTGATGTGACTCACATCGTAGACAGAGATAAAGCAGTGGGCAGTAAAGTAGGCGAAGAGAGCAACGATGAGTAGAGGAACCCACACGTACATCACTTCATTTCTGGTCTGTAGGAAGGAAGGACAGTATGGTCAGCGACTAACATCTCTCACCCATCACTACCATTACTTCCATACAAGGTCAATACCAAAACTCCTTGCATCCTAGCAGGATTGCTAAACTACTTTGAACAGATGTAAGAACATTGTGTATCTTCATCTTTGAGCGTGTAAAGATAATACTTTGATAAAAGTAGGAAAATTTTCAAAGCGAAGCGGAAATTAAAAAAAAAAAAACATGAAGAGACTGTAATTTAGTGATAGTGGAGAGCTATATGTGTAACTTACCTTTAAAAGTTGATAACCGATTACTACGGTACAGATAACGACAGAAGACTTAGCCAGAAACAAGACAAAGGCACCAACGGAGTTGATAGCAGCGACCCTGAGTGCGTTGGACGCCAAGACCCCGAAAGCCTTTTGCGCAGCCTTGCAGAACCCATACCCGTATATAGCTGACAGAGGAATTCACAAGGAATTAATTTTTGCAATTAAACTTGGAGAAATTATTAAAAAAAATACATGTCGGGAATGACGAAAGTGTTAATGTTTCTCTGAACTAATTTCAAAAATCATCAAAGATTTGATTTCATACAGCTGTATAGTACGAAACTATTCAAAATATTTTAGGAATTTGATGCTTTCGTTCTAAAACGATTAAAACTAAAAGACAAGAGGCCAGCCACCCAAGTTAATGAGACCATCTAGAACGATAGACGGGTCAGTTATATAAAATGGGTCCTTATTGATGAGTAAGACATATCTGAAAATACAGTGTATTTTGTATGTAAATTGATGGAATATATTGTAGTTTTAATAAAAATTAATTTGTAAATAAAGAACCTGTGGAAAATTGCATTTATCTGAATGTATCATTATATACATAACAGTAAATGAACATAGATAATTATTATTTATCAGACAATTAGGAATTTGGGACACCTAGGTCGTAAAAAAAATGTCCCCCTTCGATACCTACCACTGTCATATCCACAAGTTGCTCTGGACCTATCAATTAAATGAATTATACATCTCCAGGAATACTGGTAAATATATAAATTTGTGGACTGTATATTAAAATTAAAAAAAGGATTATATATACACACGTTTATATAACAGAAGGAAAATATCTTAATATCACTCACCAATTTGACTGGAGATTAAGTTGTATCATACTCAGAAAACCTCACTGTCTATACATGAAAATATCAACAAATTTTGTTGAAAATAAGAAAAAGTTTTGGAGTGAGATTAACAAGTTAAGGAAGCCTAGAGAACAAATGGATTTGTCAGTTAAAAATAGGAGAGGAGAGTTATTAAATGGAGAGTTAGAGGTATTGGGAAGATGGAGGGAATATTTTGAGGAATTGTTAAATGTTGTTGAAGATAGGGAAGCTGTGATTTCGTGTATAGGGCAAGGAGGAATAACATCTTGTAGGAGTGAGGAAGAGCCAGTTGTGAGTGTGGGGGAAGTTCGTGAGGCAGTAGGTAAAATGAAAGGGGGTAAGGCAGCCGGGATTAATGGGATAAAGATAGAAATGTTAAAAGCAGGTGGGGATATAGTTTTGGAGTGGTTGGTGCAATTATTTAATAAATGTATGGAAGAGGGTAAGGTACCTAGGGATTGGCAGAGAGCATGCATAGTTCCTTTGTATAAAGGCAAAGGGGATAAAAGAAAGTGCAAAAATTATAGGGGGATAAGTCTGCTGAGTATACCTGGTAAAGTGTATGGTAGAGTTATTATTGAAAGAATTAAGAGTAGGACGGAGAATAGGATAGCAGATGAACAAGGAGGCTTTAGGAAAGGTAGGGGGTGTGTGGACCAGGTGTTTACAGTGAAACATATAAGTGAACAGTATTTAGATAAGGCTAAAGAGGTCTTTGTGGCATTTATGGATTTGGAAAAGGCGTATGACAGGGTGGATAGGGGGGCAATGTGGCAGATGTTGCAGGTGTATGGTGTAGGAGGTAGGTTACTGAAAGCAGTGAAGAGTTTTTACGAGGATAGTGAGGCTCAAGTTAGAGTATGTAGGAAAGAGGGAAATTATTTCCCAGTAAAAGTAGGCCTTAGACAAGGATGTGTGATGTCACCGTGGTTGTTTAATATATTTTAGATGGGGTTGTAAGAGAAGTAAATGCGAGGGTCTTGGCAAGAGGCATGGAGTTAAAAGATAAAGAATCACACATAAAGTGGGAGTTGTCACAGTTGCTCTTTGCTGATGACACTGTGCTCTTTGGAGATTCTGAAGAGAAGTTGCAGAGATTGGTGGATGAATTTGGTAGGGTATGCAAAAGAAGAAAATTAAAAGTGAATACAGGAAAGAGTAAGGTTATGAGGATAACAAAAAGATTAGGTGATGAAAGATTGGATATCAGATTGGAGGGAGAGGGTATGGAGGAGGTGAATGTATTCAGATATTTGGGAGTGGACGTGTCAGCAGATGGGGTCTATGAAAGATGAGGTGAATCATAGAATTGATGAGGGGAAAAGGGTGAGTGGTGCACTTAGGAGTCTGTTGAGACAAAGAACTTTGTCCTTGGAGGCAAAGAGGGGAATGTATGAGAGTATAGTTTTACCAACGCTCTTATATGGGTGTGAAGCATGGGTGATGTTGTGGAAGTTTTAGCAGTAAAGGTCGAGAACCAAAACCTAGTCATTGTGGTAGTCTACAAGCCTCCGGATGCAACATCCCAGCAATTCCAGGAACAGCTGTTAAAAATTGACCACTGTCTGGAAAATCTTCCAGCTCCTGCACCCAACATCTTGCTCCTGGGGGATTTCAACTTAAGGCACCTAAAATGGAGGAATATAGCAAATAATATTGTTGCAGTAATAACACCAGGAGGCAGCTCTGATGAAAACTCACACTCACACGAGCTTTTAAATCTCTGCACAAAATTCAATTTAAACCAGCAAATAATAGAGCCTACTAGACTGGAGAATACACTAGACCTCATCTTCACTAACAATGATGATCTGATAAGAAATGTCACCATATCAAAAACAATATACTCAGATCACAACATAATTGAGGTTCAGACATGTATGAGTGGAGCCAAAGACCGACAAAATGAGACTAGTCACGAGGGAGCATTCACCAAATTCAACTTCAATAACAAAAACATAACGTGGGACCAAGTAAACCAAGTCCTAACCGATATAAGCTGGGAAGATACACTAAGCAACACAGACCCCAACGTATGCCTAGAACAGATTAACTCGGTGGCACTCGATGTATGCACAAGGCTTATTCCTCTAAGAAAAAGGAGGAGTAGATGTAAAATAGAAAGAGACAGGCGCTCCCTTTACAGGCGACGGAAAAGAATAACAGAGCGGCTAAAAGAGGTCAATATATCTGAAATGCGTAGGGAGACACTGGTCAGAGAATAGCAAGCATCGAACTTAAGCTAAAAGAATCCTTAGGAGTCAGGAATCGCGGGAAGAACTAAAAGCCATAAATGAAATCGAAAGAAACCCAAAGTATTTCTTCTCCTATGCCAAATCAAAATCGAGAACAACGTCCAGTATTGGGGCCCCTACTTAAACAAGATGGGTCCTACACAGATGACAGCAAGGAAATGAGTGAGCTACTCAAGTCCCAATAGACTCAGTTTTTAGCAAGCCGCTAACCAGACTGAGAGTCGAAGATCAAAATAAATTTTTTTTATGAGAGAGCCACAGAATTTGATTAACACAAGCCTATCCGATGTATCCTGACGCCAAATGACTTCGAACAGGCGATAAATGACATGCCCATGCCTCTGCCCCAGGCCAGACTCATGGAAACTCTGTGTTCATCAAGAACTGCAAGAAGCCCCTATCACGAGCCTTTTCCATCCTATGGAGAGGGAGCATGGACACAGGGGTCGTCCCTCAGTTACTAAAAAAAAACAGACATAGTCCCACTCCACAAAGGGGGCAGTAAAGCAACAGCAAAGAACTACAGACCAATAGCACTAACATCCCATATCATAAAAATCTTTGAAAGGGTCCTAAGAAGCAAGATCACCACCCATCTAGAAACCCATCAGTTACATAACCCAGGGCAACATGGGTTTAGAACAGGTCGCTCCTGTCTGTCCTCAACTATTGGATCACTACGACAAGGTCCTAAATGCACTAGAAGACAAAAAGAATGCAGATGTAATATATTTCAGACTTTGCAAAAGCCTTCGACAAGTGTGACCATGGCGTAATAGCGCACAAAATGCGTGCTAAAGGAATAACAGGAAAAGTCGGTCGATGGATCTATAATTTCCTCACTAACAGAACACAGAGAGTAGTCGTCAACAGAGTAAAGCCCGAGGCAGCTACGGTGAAAAGCTCTGTTCCGCAAGGCACAGTACTAGCTCCCATCTTGTTCCTCATCCTCATATCCGACATAGACAAGGATGTCAGCCACAGCACGTGTCTTCCTTTGCAGATGACACCCGAATCTGCATGACAGTGTCTTCCATTGCAGACACTGCAAGGCTCCAGGCGGACATCAACCAAATCTTTCAGTGGGCTGCGGAAAACAATATGAAGTTCAACGATGAGAAATTTCAATTACTCAGATATGGTAAACATGAGGAAATTAAATCTTCATCAGAGTACAAAACAAATTCTGGCCACAAAATAGAGCGAAACACCAACGTCAAAGACCTGGGAGTGATTATGTCGGAGGATCTCACCTTCAAGGACCATAACATTGTATCAATCGCATCTGCTAGAAAAATGACAGGATGGATAATGAGAACCTTCAAAACTAGGGAGGCCAAGCCCATGATGACACTCTTCAGGTCACTTGTTCTATCTAGGCTGGAATATTGCTGCACTCTAACAGCACCTTTCAAGGCAGGTGAAATTGCTGACCTAGAAAATGTACAGAGAACTTTCACGGCGCGCATAACGGAGATAAAACACCTCAATTACTGGGTGCGCTTGAGGTTTCTAAACCTGTATTCCCTGGAACGCAGGAGGGAGAGATACATGGTTATATACACCTGGAAAATCCTAGAGGGACTAGTACCGAACTTGCACACGAAAATCACTCACTACGAAAGCAAAAGACTTGGCAGACGATGCACCATCCCCCAATGAAAAGCAGGGGTGTCACTAGCACGTTAAGAGACCATACAATAAGTGTCAGGGGCCCGAGACTGTTCAACTGCCTCCCAGCACACATAAGGGGGATTACCAACAGACCCCTGGCAGTGTTCAAGCTGGCACTGGACAAGCACCTAAAGTCAGTTCCTGATCAGCCGGGCTGTGGCTCGTACGTTGGCTTGCGTGCAGCCAGCAGCAACAGCCTGGTTGATCAGGGGCTGATCCACCAGGAGGCCTGGTCACAGACCGGGCCGCGGGGGCGTTGATCCCCGAAACTCTCTCCAGGTAAACTCCAGGTGATGAATGTTGCAGCGAGGAGAAGGCTGGAGGCAGTGGAGAAGTCATGTCTGAGGGCAATGTGTGGTG